ACCCCCCGCCCAGCTCCCAGCCCTCCTCTTCCTTACCACTGACACTCTGTTCTGCAAAGGAACTTTCGAGACCACAGAGTTGGAGCAGATCCCAATGAATGAACCAGCCTTACATCCAACCTGCCACCGCTGTCTGTTCCTGAATAAATCAAACCACTATTTTCACAGGCCTTTTTGAGCCAAAAGTTCCCTGGGCTGGGCCTGGCCAGAAGGCAGTGGGGGTGAAGATACGAGCAACTGCTGCCCCGCGTGCAGGGCTCCTTTTAGGGGCACAGAAATGCTTGGGGACCAGACAGAGGTGGTGGCTGCACTGTGTGAACTTACGAAATGCCACTGAATTGTTCACTTTAAGATAGCCACCCAGGGGCGCCTGGGTGTCTCAGTCGGTTAAGCATCTGCCTTCGGTTCCGGTCACGATCTCACAGTTTGTGGGTTCGAGCCCCACATCGGGCTCCCCGCTGTCAGCATGGAGCCCGCTTAGGAGCCTCTGTCCCCTTCTCGCTGCCCCTACCCCGCTTGCGTACTCTCAAAAATAAATAATCCATTTAAAAAGTTTCTTTGAATAATCACCTCTGTTATGTGAACTTTGCCTTGACTTAAAAAGTAATTTATGAGGGAAAGCGTGATTGGCCAATCACTTCAAGATCCTAAAACCTGCTTTTTGCCTTCCTGAGTGTAAGCTGTCACCAGCTCAGAGAGATAATGTAACGAATGTTTTGCCCAGGAATCAAGAAATGCTGGAAAATGGAGGGGGAGGAGGGGGCAGAAATAAAATCTGGCCACTTGCAGGCAGGTTTTGAATACCGTAAGGTTTACAACGAGCCTTCATTCCAAACAAGCCCCTCAACGATGCGAACCGTGAAATCAGATGAAATACAAGTGCCCTGGTGTCACGGGTGGGCTGACTGGTACTGCTTCCCAGGCCCCTTGCTGATGTGACACCCTGAGTCTGCACCGCCCGCTTTCACGGGGTAGTAAGTCCTTGGAGGTACTGGCCGAAATGAATGAATGAGAACAGCAGCCAGGCTTGCCCCACCCAGCTGCTCACCCCACGTGAACACCCCCTCCTGGAGGGCCAGGACCTGGCCTGTCTCATGTCCCCAACTCCTCACGGCCTAGGACAGTTTGCTCCACAAACATCCATTGCATGAATGAACGAACGCGGGCATGCACGAACAGACTGTCACGATGCTAGGGAGAAAACGCTCAGGGCTCTTTTCTTTCTACCTCTATTGCTTTGGATTCTGGGTCACTTGCTGCAGAGGAGGAGGGGGGAAACCCACCTCTCTTGAAAGAAAGGAAATGGAACAGCAGAAATAAATCCTCTCAAAGCAAGGACGTTTCAAAAGTCACATCGCCTGCTTTGTAACTTAAGTTGCGGACATTCTGTGAGAAGATAAGATTTCCTCTCCGAGTGGGAACAAAACCCGCTGACTCTCTTTGTGATCTCTGTGCCAGACCTCCCGGAAACGTCACAGAAACCAGAGCGAGATGGTTACATAGGACTTGGTAAAACAATGACCGCTGCGAACGGCAGATAATGGCTTAAAATGTTTATCAGCTGACTGGGAGGACTCCACAGTGAGCGCACAGCATACAAAGCTTTTTCACTTGGTTAAAAGTACAGTGTATTCTAAGATGATTAAGGGGGAGGCATGGATATGTGCTGAATGTGCTCAGAAACTACTTCCCTCTTCTCTTCCAGATGCTTTGGAAAGATTTATCTATTTATTTATTTGGTTTTTTCAACGTTTCAGTCTTTACTTATTTAACTAGTCTCCACAGACATCGTGGGGCCTGAACTCACGACCCCAAGATCAAGAGTCGCATGCTCTTCCGACTGAGCCAGGTGCCCCTCAACGCCCAACCATGGAAAGTTTTGTTTTGTTTTTTTTTTTTAACGTTTATTTATTTTTGGGACAGAGAGAGACAGAGCATGAACGGGGTAGGGGCAGAGAGAGAGGGAGACACAGAATCGGAAGCAGGCTCCAGGCTCCGAGCCATCAGCCCAGAGCCCGACGCGGGGCTCAAACTCACGAACCGTGAGATCGTGACCTGAGCCGAAGTCAGACGCTCAACCGACTGAGCCACCCAGGCGCCCCGGAAAGTTTTAAATAAGGGGGTTTAACTGCTTTTCCTGACACTTAAACACCCACCAGAAGGCTTGGTTTCTTGGGGATGACCTTCTCCATGGCTTTCACTCATTCATTTACTCAGTCATGGTCTCCTGGGGCCTTCTGGGTGCCAGGCCCCAGCTGGAAACAAAAAGCAGGGGAACACCAGGGACCTAGACACGCATAGTCCAAAGGCGTGGGGCCGGGACAGGGGAGGGAGCAACTGGCGGCTTGCCAGAATCAGGGAAGGGACATCTGAGTTGAGTCCCGCAGCTCACGGCTCACCGGGAAGAATCATTAAGGACCATTACGCGTGTTCTGCACGTTCACTCACGCATTCACTCTTTCCCGCACGGTTTTCCTTAGACCTCCTTTGCGCCAGACCCCGCGCTTGGTGCTAGGGACTTGAGCGACATCAGACATGAACTTGGGCCTCAAGGACCCCCATGTCACATTATTCAAGCCTCACCACATTCTATCTCAGCAGTGCTCAGCTGGAGTGGATTTTGCCCCCCGACCCTGACCCAAGGGGACATTTGATAATGCCTGGAGACATTTTGTGGTCACCGCTTGGGAAGTGGCTACTGGCATCTGGTGGCTAGAAGCCAG